CAAACAACTTCCTCCTTCACCCCTACACCCCTCCTTCATCCCCCTATACTCCTCCTTCACCCCTCCTTCATCCCCCTATACTCCTCCTTCACCCCCTATACCCTCTCTTCTGTGCCCCCCTACACCCCTTCCTATGGGTGCTCCGAGGAAGGTATCAGGCTGACACTAACCGAACGGCAGTTTTTGTCTGGGGATTTTTTTTCTGGAAAGGAAATAATTATTCTTAATTAAATGTTTAATTGATATGCAAATAAACACAACACAGCAATAAGCATGTATATCTTCATATCTAAACATCCTAAGTAGTTTTGTGTGGTAATTTTTTCCCAACTAGGTCATTATCCACACATTTTTTGTTTTCTGTGGGAATAAATAAGACCCAAACTTCATTATTGTATTCAAAGGCCTGGGGATATGACGAGGTGGATTATATAACAAGTAATACATCGAGAAGTATAGATTATTGTGAGTAGTGTGGTGTGGAGGCTGAACTGCCGTTAATTGACAAGACCCGCATCACACCATCTCTACACACACACATATGTACTGTATGTACTGTATGTACTGTATGTATGTATGTATGTAAAAGTTCCTAATTACCCATAATACTTGAGTTTTATTGATTCCTCTCCTGCACTCTTAAGATCTTGCCTTTTGTCATTTTTTTCACACTTGTCTTTGAGTCTCCTAATTGCATTGTAAAAATACCGATGACTTGACCACAGAAAACGAGATCAGACTCCTGGGAACGCCTCAGTTTAGGATGACTCGTCGTCGATTTTAGATAGATCGATACAAAGATTTTTATTTCACAAGATAATCGTCATGCAAGTTCACATTGGTTCAGCTTGTACTGCACAGTCCCCTTCACTAGTGCGTTTACAGGGGCTCGTAAAGTCGTAATATAAATATTCCACAAATCATTATATTGAAATATTTGTTTTAATATCGTTTTACTTTGATTCCATAGTATGTTAACTATTGCGAGTTTCCTTCTGTTTTATGTTAACAAACACAGCGCTGCCACACTGCACAAAACCTGACAAGCCCTTGTAAACGCAATAGTGAAGGGGACTGTACATAGACAGTACGGGTGTACAAGGTATACAATAAGCCTCCCAAAATTATTAAAAACATAATTCCATCAAGCTCCTTTAACGAACCATTACCCCCAAGTACACATTTAATGACGCATCATTAACTCTTATAGAAGAGTAATGGAACATATTCTAACAGGTAGCTACAGGTAAGAGTGTTTAATTACCGGTACGTGTTCTCTTGATTATTGTCATATGTGTTTAATTAATACTTGTGTTAGCTGACTGTTCTACTTAATATTAAAGGCTTATGTACTGTATCATACCGAAGACAGGTGAGGAGGTTATTGTCACGACCGGACACCTGCTAATTAAAATACATATCAACAAAAAACTAACTTAACAATTACGTTATCATTTTTATGTACGAAAATGAATTCACCTTTTCTATTATTTTTCATCTTTAGTAAAACTTACATTGGAATTAAGATGACGTCACAGTTCTTAATTCGTGTGCGTGTGTGTGTGTGTGTGTGTGTGTGCTGTGTGACCAAATCATCAGGTGTCTCTAAAACAGTTTCCCTTTATGAGTTAATTGATCCCATTATTCATTATAGCAAACCTCTACCTTCTCTTAGCACGGGGTGTGAACAGCATGACGGTGTATAGACATTGTATTACTTCTCTCATTCTGTGATTATTATTTCATTTCTTGTTATCGAGTCCTTTACAATCTTTAATCTATAATATTAAGTGATGATATTTGGCTGTGTTGCTTTCTTCCCGCCTTTCCTGATGTGACTGATGGATTTGTTTAGTGGTTAAAGGATATTTTCTCATTGAGTGACTTAACGTATAGCCACTGGACCTTAATTCTCGATCGTCCTTATTACATTACGTGTTTGTGAACTTTTGTCTAAGATTAAATTATATAAAATCCTCTTCAATTGCTCTAAATCTGAAAATAAAGACATAGAATCTGAGTAAAATAGAGTCTAGTAACGGCTTTCCCACCTACCGCTTCCTGCAACACCAACACAACACTAGGAACACCAACACAACACTAGGGACACCAACACAACACCAGGGTCACCAACACAACACCAGGGACACCAACACAACACCAGGGGATGTCCGCGGTGTGTCCCAAAGATAAAATTTCCACAACAGGATCTCATGTTTCAGGAAGTTTTAGCGACCTGAACATCTTCCTCCTCGGAGCTGACTCGAATCTGCCATTACCATCCCGGCGCGTAACATGGTGGTGGTCCAGGGTCTACAGTGTGGCCAGGGTCTACAGTGTGGCCAGGGTCTACAGTGTGGCCAGGGTCTAGAGTGTGGCCAGGGTCTAGAGTGTGGCCAGCGTCTACAGTGTGTCTAGGGTCTACAGGGTCTACATTGTGGCCAGGGTCTACAGTGTGTCTAGGGTCTACAGGGTGTACAGTGCCCATGGTCTACAGGGTCTACTCTACACTGTGTCCAGGGTCTACAGGTCTACTTTACAAGGTTTACTGTGTGGTGTCCAGGTTTACATAAATTTAAGTTAATAAAAGAAAAATTGTTGGATCACCTGAGGGGTAGATAACCCAACTGACTTCACCTGATGCTTAAACACCCTAATCTAATCTAACCTAACCTAACATAGAATAACCTAACCTGACCTGACCTATCCTAATCTTCAGGTAATCCAAACAACGTAAAACAATAACATCAGAATTACACAGAGATAAGATTAATTAAATCACGTTCCCTTACAACAGGACAAAGTTAACGAAGAAAAAGTTAAGGAAGGTTGTCTGTAAGTTAATTGCTGGGTCCCAACTGCTACTAAGTGATGGTAGCTGATGGAAGTCTTCTCTCAGTGGGGGATTGTTGTGTTAGAACCCTCAGTTGGTGTCTCTGTTGTGTTGGCGCCTCTGATGTTGTGTTGGCATCCCTGGTGTTGTGTTGGCATCCCTGGTGTTGTGTTGGCATCCCTGGTGTTGTGTTGGCATCCCTAGTGTTGTGTTGGCACCCCGCTGGTGTTATGGTGGCACCCCTGGTGTTATGTTGGCATCTCTGATGTTGTGTTGGCATCCCTGGTGTTGTGTTGGCACCCCTGGTGTTGTGTTGGCACCCCTGGTGTTGTGTTGGGCACCCTGGTGTTGTGTTGGCACCCATGATGTGGTGGCACCCCTGGTGTTGTGTTGGCACCCCTGTGTTGTGTTGGCACCCTTGATGTGTTGGCACCCCTGGTGTTGTGGTGGCACCTCTGGTGTTGTTTTGGCACCCCTGGTGTTGTGTTGGCACCCTGGTGTTGTGTTGGCACCCCTGGTGTTGTGTTGGCACCCCTGGTGTTGTGTTGGCACCCATGATGTGGTGGCACCCCTGGTGTTGTGTTGGCACCCCTGGCGTTGTGGTGGCACCTCTGGTGTTGTTTTGGCACCCCTGGTGTTGTGGTGGCAGCCCCCGGTGTTTTCAACTGGTTCGTCTTCGTCTAATGGATCCCATAACGATATTATCAGACTGAGGGAGAGCAGGAGCCGAGTACTGTGTATCGGCCACATAAAAACGCTATAGTAGACCTTCCCAAAATAATGCAAAATGATCTGGAACACTCGAATTACCCTTTGCAAACCCCTGTATGTATATATATATATATATATATATATATATATATATATATATATATATATATATATATATATATATATATATATATATATCGATAAAACCACACAGAAAATGGGAAGCACTGGAGCATCTTAGCCATGCCGAGTGCCCCCCCCCCTACCCTATATACGCCACTGCTAGGGTGGGGTAATCTTCATGTGATCCTCACTATCAAGTGTAAAACGGGGGAAATATCATGGAAACAGCAGTAAAGGTCACAGTTCAAGTTTTTCAAAACAAGTCGTGTACTGAACTGAGGCGAAATAACACATGTTGTGGTCAATGTGTCAAATCGGGCAATTTGTAATGTAAAATACGGTACTCACGAAAATGTTCCTTTTCATGTTGTTTGTGTTGTGTATAGTTTTGGTTAGATTTGGTTATTCAGCTAAGAACTGCAAAAAATTTCATTAAACTTCATACTGAACGAAACTAATTTAGGAAGATCTTGTCGTTGACGGTATAATGTTATTACTGCACTTTTTTTTTTACTAAGGCCTTTAAACGCGTAATATATTGATGAGCATGCACCAGTCTGATGGAGGGAATTCTTCCTCTTATAATTCTTATTTACAGATGAAATCGTGCTTGCGCTACAGCACCTCAGTTACCCAGAGAGATTAGAACGCTTGCAACTGCCTAGATTATACTATAGGAGGGTAAGGGTGACCTAATTGAAGTTTATAAATATCTCAGAGGTACTCAATCGAGTGTACTTACCTGAAGCTGGCGGACGCCCGCCTCGCTGGAGGTCACAGCTCCAGGTTGAAGAAACCACAAGTCCAGAAAACTGTGATGGCAAACTTTTTTCGGGTGAGAATTGAAAACGACCAAAATGCCAGTGTTGCGTCGTTGAGTGAACTCTTTCAGGACCATCTTGACCACCACCGGAACAGGTTCAGGAACATTCAGGAGCCGGTGCATGCCCAGTACTTGCCCTCAGTGCGTTAAAGAGACGTAACTGTCCGCCCAAGCCGACCAGTGGCGAAGAGGAATAGGGTAAATGTAAAGAGTTTGTCTAAAAGCTTAACGAGTTGGCCTTCGAAAGAGGACTAGACGAGAACTGAGCAGACGTAGAGCCTTAACAGAAATAATTAAAATACTACATCCTGTCTGTGTCAGCAGGATAAGGTTGGCTATCCTGTTGTGAATGGAAATGGAAACATATAATAATATCCAAATATATTGTTTAAATAGTGCATAATATATCAGAGCTGTATAATAATATTAAATAAATCAATATATAATAAGAATAAGATTAGTTTACCTATAAATGAAGTTTGAAGACGGTGAGGTTGGTATCCCCGTTTGTTTACTAGAGGAAACTTTTGAACTGAGCCCCAGAACAAACGTGTAAGATTATTGGCATTATCTCTTACTATCATACTCATATTAATTTGACACTTTGGTATATTAAACAGCATAGTCTAGGCATTATTATTAGAGAAGGAAACTTTTTGGTGCTTTTCCAATCTCTTAATGCGGGAAGTTAATAAGTTGTAGTGGGTATCTTAACACTGTATGGTAACGGTATACTGTACTGTGTATTCTTGGTGGTGGACACACATGGATATATATATGCTGATATATAACATTAACATACTGTTATTTTTGGTAATTATATTGGACTAACCACTGAGCGAAATTTATTGAAAAAAATTATGAAAACACCGGATTTTCACTTTTATATTATAGTGGACACTTGTAGTTTGTGGAAATATGTTAAAAATTGGATACTTTAAAAGTAAATGTTAGTTAACATTTGTGGGTATGAAAAACAGACCTACCTAACATTACCTAACTTCCTTAACGGGAGATTCCGCCCTCCGGACCCCCCGGCGGAAATATCATAGAAGAAAAATGCCTTTGAATTGTCTAAACATTATGAAGTACGTATTAATAACAGCGAAAGAAAGACCGGTGTAGGACTATAAATTGAGCTTTTTTTTATATTTAATGTATATGTAGCATGAAAGTGAGGCCGTGACATTTATTGGACAGAAATAATAGTGCAGTATTTTCTCCTTAGGTGAAATCTACTTAATATTTTTCATTGTTTGTATGTCTACTCTGTGTACTGTACCTGAGCCACTGTGAACGTAAATCATTATTTTAAGGAATAAGTATGTACGTTATTTCTAGCTGTTGTGTCGCCAGAGATGTAATTACCATAATCAATTCATCAATCATCTAGCAAAGAAAAAAATTAACAGTTCATCAGACCAAAAAGTCCCTGGAGGTTGAGTTGTTTTTTTCTATTATCAGATCAACTAAGATTTCATCACGGGAACAATTTTATTTTTTGTATATGTCAGTTGAATAAATCCATTTAACTAACATTTAAGTGAAAATGATAACCTGTGTTGTGACTTTTCCTTCCTCAGCACTATGGATGGAAGCCAAGCCATCCCATTCTTCAGCTGCCTGCAGTCTTTGTCCTGTTATGTTGATGAACAAACAGCTGTTTTAAAGGAGGAGCTGAAGTTATCTCCAGGGTAAGCTAATGTGCTGGAATAACACATTCTTTATACTGAATATGCTTGGCTTTTCTCCCTCTACTTCTTTAATTATATACTGTACAGGGAAAGAGATGTGTAGAAGAACTTGTGTTGTCCCAGGAAATAGTTTTGATATATAGTGCAGTAGATATAATGTAGTGGATATTGAAATCATGGATGAGTTATATTTATGTAGTTACTGGTAGACTGTAGTTCTCCATATCTTATAGAAGCGCTGACCGGTATATATATTGTACAGTACTTGCATTACCTCTATAAATACACGTACTGAATAAATGTAAACTTCTATGACGAATTAAAAGAATAAATACTGTATGGTATTGTGCTGTACTGTATCTATTTACCTACATTACTTGTATCATTACTTCCACAGTGATTGGTTTGTTGTGTGAATATATAGATTATCAAGTGCTCATCAGTATGTTCTTTTACAGTCAAAAGCCTCAGAACTATGACAAAGGTCTTAGAACACTCAAGAAAGATGTTGAGGATGTAAAGGTTAGTGAATCAACTTATTGGATCACTTAAAGAATTTCCACCCCGGCTTATTTCACCCAAAGATTAACCACTCTGACTCTATTTGGGGGGGGGGGGAAGGTTAGGTTAGCATTAGGGCGGTTAATCTGGTGAAATAAATTGAGGTGGAGATTCTTCAGGAGATCCAGTTTATCTTTTACCTTTTCTTTATTTACAAGCAGTCACCTCACCTTGTTTGTTTCCTGTACAGTACAGTACAGGTATTTGACTGTGGGGTCCTCTTATGTAATCATTAATTATTTAGTTTCTTTAATTGCTTCTGTTCAGTCATTCTTTAACTCTTTGTCCAGAGTGAATATCATCAACCCAACACTGAGAGGGACTAGTTGGACCAAATTTTAATTGTAGAAATTTTAGCTGTTAATTATATCTTGTAACATCTTAAAATTTTTACTATTTTACAGTATTATTTTTGTATTTTGGCATTTGTTCAGCAGGTTTTCATGGGAATACTGTACTGCCATTTATTGCCATATAATGCAAAATAAATATTTGTAATGAATATGAGAGGACATCAAAGTGAATCACATGAATTAATATGTTGTGCCTTCCCTGTGGTGGTCGAGCAGAAGCAGTCTGAAGAAATGGGGGTCAATATAAGATCATTCAGGAATTTCTCAAACTACCTGGAGACTGTACAGGAACATCTCATTCAACAAACTTGTGATATAGACAAGATGGAACGTTTTCTTGCAAAGTAAGTTTTTTAAACCACTTCACGGAACTTTTTCATATATGTCAGATGCTCGAAGAAACTTAAGTGAATTCATGTACTATATACCTGTATAGTGTTTATGTTTAACATATGTGTTGTTGACTTTAGTTTCAATGGCTAGTAACCTTAAAAATGTGGCCACTTGTGTTGGAATAGAAGTCCCAACCTGGAAATGGTGAAAGGTTTCATATACTGTACAGTACTGTGTTTCCCTTGTCTTATGGGGTTGAAGGCCACGGCCAGAACTCACTCCGGGACAAGATAGGTTTGGGTGAGTCTTTCACAAAGTAGGATTAGAGTGAGCAAAGAAGTTATTGGAATGATATCTGTAGGTAGTTGGCAGCTACCAAACAGGGAGGTACTACCGCCTGGGAAGATATTGGAAGCATAATTTATTGTTTAATGGTAGACCCTGCTGCCATATGGCATCACGAAAATTGTGACCAAGTCCCAGGTTGCTGATCTGACTTTCTGCCTCATTTACACACAATTGCAGGGTCTCAATTGTTTCTCTTACTATTGACAACACAACATACATATATTATTTCTCAATCTTGATTTTTTTTAATTTTTGTATTTCTTTATGGTTCTTTATTTATTATTATTATTATTATTATTATTATTATTATTATTATTGTTATTATTACATTTCCCCCCTAGGCCTCGATGTGGGTCAGTGACCTGTGCCCAGGTGGGCTAATCCCAGAAAAAAAAAATGACAGTATGTTTCATATGGTTTATATGATTTAGTTTCCTCATATATTGTTGTGTTGCAGGTTTGGTTATGTTCCTCTCCAACAGCCATCTAAAGATCCTCGTCCTAATATTGTTGTGACCACAGTGGCAGAGGGGAAGCAGAATGTACTTGATGACCAGGAGAAAGGCACTGCTGAAGGGTAGGTGAAGATATGAATAGGTGTATAATTTACTTTTTGGATCATCACACATGACCTAAAAAAATCATATTTCTAGCACTCTGGCAAGCCCAGGAAATACTATCAAGACCAAATTTTAGATGAGAAATATCAGTACAGTACTCATGTTCCAGTGTACTATTTAATTAACAATAGATTATTGCTGTTTCATTGGTAAATGAACAGTTGTGGAATTGTATACAGATCACTCATGCTGTGTCTATAGGAATATATAAAATGGCTCCAGCAAGATTGAATAATGAGTGTTGTGCACTTCATTCCAGCCATTCTGTACCATGCAAAAAAAGACCTGCAAGAAGGAATGTTTAGTAACAGTTGTATTATCTTTTCCTCAGACCCTCTGAAGAAGTTACTACTATTGGTACCTCAGAAGGGACACCAGTATTGAGCAACACTGGTCTATTAATTCTCCAGGGTAAAGACGTGCCCGAGATCACAGCCACGAAACAATTACTTGTAAGTCATTTTTTTATTGAATGCATTTTACTGAATTACTGTAACCAAGTATTTCATTTAGATATTAGCAGCTAGTTAACTTATGAATGGATATATAAAACATGGAAACACTTGTTTTATTCATCTTGTCCAGAGATCCATCAGTAGTGATTAAATATCCATAAAATGTTGCCTCTTGAATTTAGTATCAACACAAAATATGGAGGCTACCTGTACAGTACATTAGTTTCAGGTTCTTATGTGTTAATGCACCTTCATGTATATTGTATTGTATTCCATATTCCAGGTGATGAGTGAGTCTGTTTAGGAAAAATAGAAGGACTAATTGCAAGTTGCACATATGTATTCCAACATCATGGAGTGTCCTCTCATCTAAGAAACACTTTACATTACTTGTTCTAAGAATATTAGGGAGATTAACTTTTAACAAAGTTTGCTGAGGAAAGTAAAAATTTACACTTGACATCTATTTGGCCAGGATTCACTTTTAGTAATGTATACAAATGACATTTACTCAGTGTAGACTGCTAAGTGAAATATGTAGATGTAGTTATCTGTACCTCTAATTTCATACATGGCAGGTATTAATGACCTTTGGAAATTGATACAATACAGTACTCTAATTACTACCTGTTTTAAGTTGTATTTCTCTTGTTTAACCATTTTCTGTCCATCTTGTTCATTTACTAATTCTTACTAGTACTGTCTCGCCTCCTGGCATAAAATATTGACTTGGCCAATACAAACACTAGATAGGTTGCCATACATTATTTTCCAATCACAGACTGCCCTCAAACTAACATGCACAATTTAAATATGCTCTGGGACATGTCCATCCCAGCCGTATTATACTGCAGGAAGCCTTTAGGGATGTATACGTCCCGTCCGTAATGAAAGGTTAAGGACAGATGAAAGATGTAATGATGGTAACCCTTCTGGTTAAATCTGCATAAATCTGCTTACATTTTGTGCCTTTTTATGATAATCTCTATGTGGAAACATTATAAGAAGGGATGGTAAAATATATTGGAAAGAAGCTGCTGTATATGTGATAACTATATTATCTTCACCGTACTGTAATATTGTGGATGATTTATAAATTGTTGTAATTACTTGCATCAGGATGTAATAATAAGTGTGTTCTTTGACCAACAGGTGAGGACACAATACAGTACAGTAGAAATATTGCTTCACTTTCATTTCGTTATCATTATTTATAGCTGTTGTTTCCATCTACATATTAAAAAAAGATTGAAATCCTGAAATTTCTTTGTAACTAGAGGTATTATATTTAATTTTTTATTTGTGTGATTGAATGGTGGATAAGGAACAGATTCATTTTACTTTAAATTTGTTTCATGGCTTTTGACAGATGTTTCAGATGCTTTTATATTCTTCTGTGTTATTGCAGATGAGCACTTCATCAAGATGTGGTAATATATATGAAACACCAGTGGTAAGGAAGACTCAGTCCAAGCAATTCCATGATGAAGAAACAACTTCAGTCTCAGACACTCAGTCTTATTTGACTGTTGAGCAGTGGTTAACTGGAGTAGAAGAAAACAATGATATGACTCCAAATTTTGTAACTATGCACAAGGAGCCCGTGAGGGAGCTAGCACAGCAAGCTAACAATTACACTAATGAGTGTGACCAACTATCAGATGGTGAGGAAAGCCAGCCATCTCAGACACCATTGACAATACGTCCTTCAAACAGCCGTACACCAGAAGTTGTGACCTCCCAACCTCCTTCAGATCCCCAGATTGAAAACATGCCAAAGAGTGTGATCAATAAACCTTCCACACCAAATGAGCCTTATCTCTCTGAATATACCATGCAAATCTTAGCAGCGATACCATCCTACTGCAAAGATAAGCGTGGTACCCAGGATGCTACTGACCACCTTACAGATATTTTACTACAAAAAAACACATGCACAGTAACACCTGAAGAACCCAGTCTCTCATGTAGTTCTGTAAATCCAAAGATAACTTACACATCAAAAGAGGTGTTTACTCCAGAAGAACCTGTTCTCTCCTACCAACAGTCTCATTCCTCCATTGTGTCAGCTTCTAAGATGGAGGACAAAACACCAGAAGAGCCAGTTCTTTCCTATCATCCCAGCGAAAACGTGGACAGCCACAAAGAGAATAAGACACCTGAGGAACCTAAGAGATTTACATCTTACAAAAGAAGACCTGCAGCAGAACAAGTAATGGTGAGGACAAACACCCCTCAGCGAGATCTTGGTGAACTTCCTTGTTCACCTGAACTATCAGATATAACTCAGTCATTCCTCTCGCTAACTCGTAACTCACTGGCTAATCCTCAATCTCTTGCTCCTCGAAGGGATCTTTATAACACTAAAAGCACAAATGAACAACACAAGACTTTGCAGCCAGTACACTCATTGAGGGTTTATGAAAAACCAAGGCATCATCCATTAGGGAAAAGTTTCTCAGATAACTCTTATGTCAACAAACAGTTTCACCAGGAAGTGAGTCAGAGTGGGAAAGTTGCCTGGCATCTCCGAGGAATCCCTATGGAAGAGTTCGTTGGTGTTGATGATGTTCCTCCTTCTCCCCAACTCTCTGACATCACACAAAAAATTTTTGGACTGATGAAAAAGTAGTACAGTAAATGAATACACTGTACAAACAATGTGAATTCCGTTATTGCATTTAGTAGTTTAGGTAAACTGGTATCTGGTATTAATTATCTATCTATTGTACTTCTACAACAAAATTCCCTATGTTTATGAATAAATTTACTGTGGGGCAGTTTTATTTGATTTCTTCAAATTTTAACTATTTAATGGTTAGTAAGGTTTAGTCAGAGTGAAGGTTAGTAAGGTGAATTTGTAAAAGAGTTTATATGTGTGGTCACAAGAAAGTTTGGACAAATACTGTATAGTATTTAGGATATTTTTGTAGCATAGAACAGGGCTTTGTAGACACTACTGTACAGTTAAACAATATTCTGTTCCACAATTGCAGCTGGGGTACTGTAATAACATGGTGTACATTATTAGTTCCATCTAAATTTCAGTGGTAATCCTAGTTACAGAGAGTTGGAGGAGGAGGACAAGCATCACCAATACCAACGAACTGGTCACTGTGTAATGTGAAACTTCCACAGCAGCCTGTCTTACCTGTGAGTATTTCACTTATATGGTACTGGTTAGTATGATTAAATATACAGTATTAGTTTTTTTATTAAAACAAATTCCTTATTTCATCAGATAGGGGGAAAAATATTAGTACAAAATATTTTATTATTGACTGTTCCATAAAAATAAAATTTTCATATTGTATGTGTATTTTCTTCCCATTGTTTTACATCAAGGAAGGGACTGTGTGTGGAGTTATAACAGCAAGGGTTGAGGTAATAACTCAAGCTGGACAGTATGTCTGTCTTGTAAATTTCTCATTATTCTTTTACTTTTATCCTCTTCACCACTGATTGGTTCGTAAGCCACTTGGGCACATCTCTGTTATGCACTGCAGGCAAGTACTGGGCATGCACTGGCTCCTGAATGTACCTGAACCTGCTTCAGTATTGGTCAAGTCTGGTCTTGAAAAAACAGCTCACACTCAGTGCCATCACAACACACTGGCAGGTTGTTCCAGATTTTATAATTCTCACTCTGAAAAAGTTTGCCCTTGCAGTTTTCTGGACTTGTGGCTTCTTCAACTTTGAGCTCTGACCTCTAGTGGGGCGGATGTCCTCCAGGTATGGTAACTCAACTGAGTAGTGGCCTCGGAGATATTTATAAACTTCAATTAAGTCGCCCCTTGCCCATCTATAGTGTAAGCTAGGCAGTATATTCCTAAGTTTTGTTTTTAACCTTTAACTGACAACTTATATCCTCCACCCCCCCCTCCGCATTATGTGCAAAAATGTAACGCAAGAAACATCACTGATGGCCGCCACTTGATGGCTAACAGAATGTAATGTATGTATAACTTAAAATACTGTGAACTATAGTCTTCAAACCTTTGCACAAAACTCCTCATAAAATCAACCATTTCGGACAATGAAACTATTGGTAAACAAATAATTTATTCAATCACATTTATAAGAAAATGTCCTTGTATAAAACCTGAAATATTACATTTATAATAAACTATATATTTTGGTATATACATAACACTAATAGGACTAATTTCATTTAAATCTCTTTATTCAAACCTTAAATGACAGAAGCCCATTACTGTTAAAGTCATGTACAAGCTGAGATCAGAAGCTAATCTTAGACAGTACTATATTAATACTGGCGACATTAACATATCATTAAACCAACTTTTATCACTAAGTTATTAATTTTGGGAATAATCCTTAGGTACTACATATATCCTACTGAAAGACCACAATAAGTAATAATAATTGTACAAGGTAAAATATATCCAGCTTTTATACCTTCTTTTTTGTACTTGTTCATCATTGAATATTTTCCTCAAGTGTAGATTACTCGAGAATTGCTCTTATACTGTGTACTGTACCTTCAGGCCTAGTCACACTCAAGGTACCGTACTTAAGGTCTTTGTCCACATCAGAATCAGAGTAATTTAAGTACATCTTCTATAACAAATATCAAAAATAAAACTTTGATAAGAGCTATTCATAAAATTAAATTATAAAACTATATTATTTTTGAACCTATCCTAATACATGTTCATAACTATTAATTGTATTTAAATGACAATTACTACTGTAGTCTATATAGTTTCTCACATTTAGTTCACATAAATTACTGTAGGTATATGACTGTCCTGCTCAGTTTGTCTGTCTCACACAAGTCTTGCTGAACCTTATGCATTCCTGCTCACACACACTGTGGTTATGTACTATCGTGGACAAGAGTTCGCTCCCTGTAGTGAAACTGAGACAAGGGAATGAGTCTCCGAACTGACTTACCCTGATTGTTTTCTGGTGCGGGTGTGCTGTGCGGGTCGATACTGCTTCAGTTTGGGAAGGAGCGAACTTTTGTCCACGATAGTACATTACTAAAAAAAATATTATGATGAGTAATCATGAAAGCTACTTAATGTTAAATTATAATATACATTTATCTTTGGAGAGGTCATTACAATATACACGACTGAAGAATTAGACAAGATATGAGCAATACCCAACACTAGTAACCACATGTACTTCAATTGTACTAACAAATTTGTATTTCATAGTTTAAAATTTAACAGTGAACTCTAAAAAATATTGTCATCTCATTAGAGTAGTGCATTGCTATGTACATCTATATATATCAACACTAAGATCACTCATACAACAGTAAAAAAAAGATATAAGCAATTCAGTACAATATGTAACAAGTTATGGTTCCTATAAATATATTTTATAACTTACATCCTTGTCAGAAGATAAAACACTTGACCTCACATAAGTACACAAGTTCTTACTCTCTTGTTAAACTTTGCTTTTTATGTTACCGAGATTATACTGTACTAAATACAATTAAAAACAAGAATGACCAATAATTCACAATTTGTGCCAAAACAGAGGCAGGGCAAAAACTTTTCTGATTCAATCATGCTTATCTTACAGTACTGCTCTGCATTACCTTATTACAGTAAATATTATCTCTGTTGTACAGTACAGAAAAGCTACACGTGAATGGAACCTCATGATTTTCCAATTTAAAGAATATGCCTTTTTATTTATAGGTGTTTAGAAGTCACTGTTAAAGTGAGTTGTTGATAGGAACGGCACCAGCCATGAACTTGCTTCAAATTTGCCTGACAACAACCAGGAGAGAGGCTGCAAGAAACTATGCAGCTTGGAGAGCTGCCACAAGGTAAACACAGCTAACCAATGTAGAAAATAGCTATATGATGGTGGTGATGATAACTGTACAGTATATATTGTAATATGGAAATTTTCATCCCTGGCCTACAGAACCAATGAAGTATTGTCACAACTAATGTGTGTGTGTATATGCACAATGTTAAGTCTGTCTTCTTATTTGTTTGCTGAATTCCTCCAAAGAGAAGACTAATAACCTCAGATAAACCATATCTACATTTAGCTGTCAGTCAGCTCTATGAATACCACCTGAATGACCAACACAAAACTTTCAGCTGACCACTTATTTTATTTTCTGCATTATGTTTCCGTGAACAAAGACTCATGGAAATGTACATCCATCAACAGGTGAACCTGACTTAGCAGACAAATTTAAAGTTGTTATACAAAATAAGATGTTTAGCTGAAAAAAAAAATTAATCATAACACAATCAAGACAAATTCAGAATACAGTACAGGTAATACATCCATACCCAACCTGAAGTGATTGATCCAATCTTGAGAGGAAAGTTGACAGACAACAAGCTGACTCAATGAGCCATGTTATAAACAGTACAGTATTAAGAATTAGTTTATAAGTTGTGTGTTGTAACAGTCGGCGGTGATCACATTCCCCAATCCAACATAACCATTCACATATTTTCCCCAAGTTTTTCTCCACATAACAGCAACATCCATTAATAATATTCATGATTATTTGATGCAAATACGAGTATTAACTATAGAAACAGGCAGATTTAATGTCAAAATATTATGCTCTGCTTATAAGACTCCAACACAATTATAAGGAAAATCATAATCTTCAATGTGTAAGAGGGAAAACAAGATAAGTATTATGATATAATTGTTCCTCAATACATCATAACACATACAGTACAGTACTCTTCTTGTATTGGTCACCAGGCAACTTCTGAGTCTGTCTCACTCCTGAATCAGTGATATACTGTACCCTTTTTATCTTAAGTCTGTTATTATAATGTTTATAACAAAAGGACATCTCTCAACAATAGGGCACCATGCATTCATATTAATACCCGGTAGTTTAAATACGATGAGAAATTTCCATAAAAATTACCACACAGACCCCTAATCAACTCTCTGAGCAGTGAGTGATACATCTCCTGATCTGCCAACGAGACAAGAGCTTGGGAATTACAGGTGTTAAAAAATATACCTTATTAAAGTTGTAGAACACTTACCATTCACAAAAACAATACAGGTAATTAGAAAATAAAAAACAATCAGTACCTAGTGTTTGTTCAATACTGAAATTTTTCCCAGGAGTGAGGTGAGTGCCCTTCCTCCTTGACACCCTGATACAAACTGAGTCCCATGGTAACAACCGGAGATTTTTTCCAAGGTCAAGATGTTAGTGACAAACTATTGGCATCTACAGAAGCCACAGAAGATGACACTTTCTTTGAAGTGCTGTTGGAATGATTGAAAGGTAATTATACATCTTTATTATGTTTTGTACACAAGGCTAAGAAAATATTATTACATATTTACAGCTCAATGAGTTAAAACAACATCACTGTACTCATGCAAAATTAAACATCTGAATTGAATTTCAAGGATAATCAGGCAGTAAATTTATCTTGAATAACACTGAAAATAAATCATTATATTCACCAGGCCTTGTTCACTGACTTTGGTATACAGTGTGTTTTAAGTTACATAGGTATAATACAGTATTAATAGTATTACTACATACCATAGGTATTTGAGATGTATACTGTATTTGAAAGGCAGACAAGTGGCACATGTTGAATTGTAAAGGTATGCATTAACCCTTAAATGGCAGCCATCATCCATGTTCCTTGCATTCTATTTTTAAGTATATGTAGAGAAGAGAAGTAGAGAATCATAAGCTGCCGGTTAAAGGTTAACAAATGTGGTGGAATCTGCTGGATGACAAGGCTTAGCATACACTGATGAATGAGGAGTGAATTGACCGATTATTACATTTTTGAAAGAGGATTCAGCAACTAAGGCTATATCACCCCTCATGAAATGAGGAGTGAAAAATGATTATACAATACAGTACCACTGACAGGGGAGTGTAGCAACAGCAGCAGAGATGGGGAGCTACTGTACTGTGAGAAAGAAATGGAATGGAATGTATGAGAACAGAATAAAGAGTAATGGTCTATGTACAGTAACTGATGTGAAGAGAAGAGCCACAAGAAAGTGTGAACAAAGTGTAAAGACACAATGGGGGGATGACAAGACCAAGATATACAGTATACAAGTACTGTACTGTGCAAAGATAGGAAGTCTTGCATGACACACCACCCATACCACACCACCTCACTCTGACACATTATTGGATATAGTAATAGATAATTATTAAGGACAGGTCAACATAACTAGATAATTATAATTACTGTATTAATAAGGCCCTGGATATGATGGGTAAGCCAGGAGGTAGGCTGCTGCGGTGATGGCTTCTGTGGACAAGTTGATGGGAGAATCGGGTGGCCCAGATGAGGGGAAGTGAGAACCTGACAACTGCAATGGTGGAGGAGGATGGGATGCTGTGGGTGATGGTGATGAGGCCGGCACAGTGATGGGGAACGGGAGACTACCAGAGGCGTTTCTAATACTTTGGTTTGCACCCGAGAGTCTTGAAGTTGTTACCGTACTGTGAGTCGATGACGATGTTGAGAAGGCATGATAAGGAAGTGTGGTGAAGGTAGACATTGATGAAGAGGAAGGGTTACTGATAGTGGTTCCTCCTGTGCTGACACTCCCCAACTTTGGTGACTGAAGCACAGAAGGAAGATCATCATCAAATTCATCTTCTTCTAAGACTTTGCTGTGAGCCTTCAGGAGATGGGTGCTGAGGTTACAACTCCTTGTAAATCCCTTGGAGCAAAAGTGGCAGACGAATTTTTTCTCCCTCTCCACAGCTTCTACCTTCTTCTTGCCCTCAGGAAGTTTACCGTGGATTTTCCTCATGTGCTTTCTCAAGATATCTTTGCTTGTTAGAGACTTATCACATATGTCACACTTGAGCATCCCTTCACCATCATCTTTTGAGCCACTCCCTGAACTGTTTCTGGCATGAAGTTTCATATGACTCTCTAATCTCTGTTTGGAGAGGAGGAATTTATAACAGACTTTACATTGTTCCTTTGTTTTGTGGACTTTTTCATGTTTATCCAGAACATTTTTTCTCGTGAAGGATGCAGGACAAAGAGAACATTTATAATCACAATTTAACTTATGTGATTTTCTATGAGTAGCAAGACGGTCCTTACGAGAAAACTTTTTTCCACATATTTCACAGTCGTATGTTTCATTGTTATGAACGGCAAGATGTCTTTTCAAGACATCTTTTCTCGAAAATAATTTACCACACACTTGACACTTGCTCTTTTTATTCTTATGAACTTGTTCCATGTGGTTGTCCAAGAAGTCTCGCCTAACAAATGTTTTCTCACACAGTTCACACTTAAATGGTTTATCACCCAAATGTTTCTTCCTGTGAGTCTCTAAATTAAACATTGAGGAACAAAGGAAGCCACATGTCTCACACTTGTATTTCTTCCCACCATGAACCTTGAGGTGAGCCTGAAGGTATTCTTTTGTACTGAAAGATTTGGGACACTTGGAGCACTTGTGTTCTTTTTCCTGGTGTTCTTGACTGTGGCTTAACATGTGCCTGCGTAACTTGGCCTCCCGGCTATAATTTGCATTACACAATCTACAGGAGAAGCGCCTTGTTCTCACGTGTGTCTTGAGGTGTTGTGTGTAGTGTTTCCCTTTGGCAAATGTCTTGGTGCAAAATGAACACGCAAATAATGCCATTTCCTCTAGCCCATGTTCCTTCATGTGTATTTTATAATTCCTAATATCCCTTCCAAAATCTTTAGGACACAAGCGACAGGAGAGATCCAGTCCCTTAGTGAGCATGTGGGCAGCTAACCGTGAAGTCTGGTCTGGCTCTCTGGTCTTCTGGTGGTCAATGTGTGGTTTGTGGAATTTTTCAGTAAACTCACAAGATGTCTTTTGACCATCACCATGCTTCATTTTGTTATCAGTTACTATTAAGTCCCTTTCTGGTAGGTTGTGTTTAATCCAGTCTTCTATACTGGCATCAGGTCTTGTCTGCATGTGTTCAGCAGATTCATTCTTCACATTCACACCATCCATTCGCTCTAAATTATAATTTTTCACGTGCAAGTTTTCCAGGGATTCGGCACAAACAATCTTCCCATGACTATTTTCAGGCGTGTCAGTTTTGTAATCCCGCATCTGGATGACACTTGGCTTCCTCTGAGCTCTACTTTTTCTTTTCTTTGCACCAATTTCAGTTTTTCTGGGAGCTACCTCTGTTCTCTGTAACCGAGAATTAAAGCTTGTGGACACAGAGTGTAAAGGTGTTAAACAAGGAACCTCAGCAGGTTTCTCAGGTATAGTGTCCATACTGGTAGATGCATGGCAAGAATATTCCCCACCGGTTGAAAAAGTCAGCGGGTATTGCAAGGTATGTTGTTTGTTTCGACCTGCAATATCTCGATGTGTGGGTTGACTATGAATTGATCCACCACCCATCTGATTATTTACATTGAAATTATTCAACCCATTCCCAATGTGGTAGGTGTTAGCCAAAGAAACTTGGGTATTTTGCATCACTCCTTTTCTTTCACTAGGAGCCGTTGGTAACATTGTGTTCGTGGATGACGGGTCAGTGTGAGTTAAACCAAACACTGGAGTGCTTACTGAGCACATTGTTGCTTGTGCCACATTCCCTGTTACCATGCCAGGTATATTAGTATTCATGCCTGTATGACTGCTTGTGATGGGCATTGCTGGGAGAGGCAACTGTCCAAATGATGAGTTCAAACATGAATTGTGGTTAACAGGGATGGTTGAACTCATGAGGTTAGAAGTAGAACTCAATGGAGGCACCAGTCCAGCATCTGGACCTGGTGTATAATGTAGTGCATGACCGGCACCCATGTTCAGACCATCTCCACCTCCAGTAAGGTTCTCTGGCAGCTCTAAATCACGTGAGGTATTAAGATCATGATGCAGACCGGAAGAGTCAGAGTGTTGGAGTACAGTGTCTGTCATATCCTGACCATCTGGAGGGTCTAGTGCTTGCTCAGGAATTATATAATGGTCTATATCCATCTGTACAAACTCATCATTAACTTGAAATAATCCATTTAAAGAATGTTTATGGGTACATAACTGTGAACCTGCATTTACCTTCTCCCCACATAGCCAACATTCGCTCACATTTAAAGTATAGTTAGTGTTCAAGTTGATGTGCCTAAGTTGGAGCACAAGTTTCCCACCATAACAAGTCATTCTTCCATAAACATCAGCTGACTCCAAGTGCGTCTTGTGGGACAACACCACACCTTGAGTGTTGTTTCCTGCACCATCACCCATACCATTTGTAGCTTGGTCAAATAAAGAGGATTCCAATTCTTTATGACTTGGATCTGCTCCAGATGACAAGTCAGGTCCTAAATCTTGACAAGCCAACTTAGCCAAAAGACTCTGAGCAGTCTCACTATCTCCTTTAGGTAGAGAGTTGGTCAGCTCTGTCATCTGGCATATATCCCCAGCATGAAGATCATCAAACCTCTGTAAGATAGAGGATAAGCCAGAGAGATGGTGAATATCATTGTAACCTCCACCGACTGACGTATTTCCAGTCGACTGAAGAGAGCTCAATCCTCCATTTCCAAGTCCACCAGAGCTTAGACTGCCTCCAGGGCCCTTGCGAGCCCCAGGACCATCCAGGGCGAGATCAACGTCAAATCCCATGGGCCAGAGATCACTTCCTAGAGTTGGAGTCTCAAAGCCCCGGCACGAGTGGCTGTTGTCCCCCATGTTGAACCTGCAATATTGGTTTACTGTTATAACCTGATGACTACAATACAACATTGTCTGTTAATGGAAAACCACTAACACCAAACTTAAATTCTGGCAGGAACTTCCTCAGTGTTTGTTTTAATGTAATGAAACAAACCCTGAGGAGGAACAAGGAAAAATTTTAATTTTTTTTCTAGAATTTTTGTTTAAGTTGCTGGCTATCGTAAGTTGGTGTTGTAGCACGTCTATATGATTAGTCTGGAGGAATTGGCCATATTGATCTGTACAAATAGCCACAGCACTTTTATATTAAGGTTTTGTTAGGTAACATTACGCTAAGTTTTAATGTTTTGCAGCTTTAAAAAAACAACAATAAATGTCAAAATAAATTCTCAAAACCCAACCTAAATTTATATAACAAAGACATATTCCAAGATCATTCGGTGTCGAGTAAGTTAAGTTCGGGTTGGAGGGTTTGTTATGTCTGGTTTGAAAGAACTCTGAAGTTAAGTGAAATTATTTATTATACAGTTCCCACATTCCAATCTACAAACAGTGGGGTCCATATTCAAGTAGTGTACCAATGCACAATATTTAAAAAACTTGTTATTTCAGCGGCTCTCTTATTGTAGCATACTGCATAGGTTAGTTTGGGTGATACTATGTTAGTTATACTAGGTTAAGTTAAGCCTATATTGTTATGTAAGATAATTTGAATAAAATGACCTTAACCACGAGTTTATTGCCTACACATCATGCACGTCTTGTTATTATATAAAACATTTAACTTCCATTACACTGTCACCAGATGAACGTCACAACATGTTACGGATTATTAACAATACAAAAGCCTTATCAAGACGTTCATATTTTTCCCATTTATTCATTTATGATGCATTAATCCACACATGTTTACTATGAGACACATTTTGGTGTATATAGTATTCAAGACAAGAAATAATTTAATGATAAAAGTGACCAGAAGAGCTGTGGTGTCTCACTACCAAGCCAAGACGTCTTAAATTTCCAACCCCAAGATGATCTCTAGACATATTCTTATTTCATGCCTCTTTACCCAATGTATATTACCTTGTTACTGTGATAACGTATGTGTCTTCATCAGAATATGTGTTACCCTGTGTGACTGAGAGATACGGAGGAATATGACGAAGAAAAAGGGTAAATGATGATAGCAAATATGTTATAACTTCCAACTCAGGCGCAGCTCAATGTAAACACCGGAGACTAACACCTCCCTCGCCCCTACTCTCTTAACGGGGTAACTAAACTATATTATCTTTGTTCCTTTTTCTCGTAAAATATATCCCACTTTAGAGATATTTTAAGAAATTATATCATATTTATTTTACATCTACTTCCCTGGATATATGCCAATGTATGCAGATAGAAACTAATCTACATACTGTATGCTGGTAATGTTGGGATTATTATTAATTTGTATTTATATTTAATTTACTTCTATTGGGGAAATTGAATGAATGTGTTATGATTATGTATCTATATCTTTATCTTTATTGGTCTAGTGGCAGTAAAGGAAGAAACTGCACCCAGAGAAAACCCAAGTCATATTGAGTCAAGTCACATGGAACAACCAACTCCTCACACAAGGCTCAAACTATAATCTTACCTGGGTCACACAAAAAGACGTACGTACATATGCAAATGAGTTTTATCACTTACCTAGTATCATTTTACTGCGTATTTCCCGTAAAAAAATAGGATATTCCTAAGATAATCGGTGATGTTTAATATTTACCAAGGAGGAACTCAACAACTGAGATTTTTTTTAGAACGAATAATATAGAGTTGTTAGATTGTGTATAATTTATGAGTATATTTTGTGTCTGTAATTTAGTAATAATATGTGTATGTAGGAAACATTGCTACTACATATACAGTACATAGAAGAATAGTCTCTGATATTAGTCGAGATTTCAAAGTTATACAAATATTTTGGTTTTGTCTTTTTTTACCTTAAGATTAACCACACTAACCTTAGCTAATTCTAAACTAACCTGATCTAACCCCGCAGGCAGCGATAGGGGAGTATAATCATCAAGTGAAATAAGCTCGGAGGGTTAATCTTCATGTGACCCATCCAATTATTTCATCTTTACCCCTTCGAGGACTGGAGCGAGAAAAAACTAACGGGAGGGCCAAGCATAACAACACCCTCCCCACATGACCTTAACCTGACACTAGTTTTTCTACTGGCCTGAATCAATCCCTCGACCCTTGACCTTTCATGCGAATCTTCACTGATATTTATTTTGACGAATTTGTAACCAATAACAAAGGTACAAAAAACACATATCGTAACTGTAATGTCAAAATATATTGATGAAACGAACAATGGCAATAGATTATGAATACATTAATAAATAAATTGTGAAAAAGATAAGTACCACTTAATTTTACCTTTAGGAAACAGTGTAGATTTTCGATAGATAGATATTCAGCAAATCGTCAATAGAAGCTTATATTGATGCAGTACTACGTGTAGAGACACTGCAGCTATACAATTAAATATGTTGAGTGATAATGAGTTCAGCATGTATACAGGTAATGCAGGTATACAGCTCAGCATGTATACAGGTAATGCAGGTATACAGCTCAGCATGTATACAGGTAATGCAGGTATACAGCTCAGCATGTATACAGGTAATGCAGGTATACAGCTCAGCATGTATACAGGTAATGCAGGTATACAGCTCAGCATGTATACTAATAATGCATCTATACAATATTACAATACCGAGGCAAAATAAAAGTCGAATTTGGAATGGCACTAACTGAACTTGATTCCTCTCTTAGTTATTAGAGAGAAAAAAATTAAGAATCCTAATAATTGAAAGATTAATAGACTTCAAAGGGACTTATGATAGAGTTAATTTAACAAAACGGGAGAAACAAGTGTCGCTCCAGGCCAGAGAACGACAACCCTCAATATTTATTCAAGGAAGTCGCTCACTGGGATGACTAACTAAACCTTAAATAATGATTCACGTTTCGTAAGATGTTCAACTGTGTGTGTGTGAGACTCTTCATCCATGTTGGTTACTTCTTTAGCGCCATGTGCGGGGTGAGTCACGTTGATTCTGGCCGTAGTTGACTCATCATGATGGTACAGTTCCAGTCTATCATATAAAAATCACCAAATAATTAATGTAAATCTACCACGATACAGATTCTTTAATTACACTTGTCTCAGCCTAGCCATCTAGTTCTTGGTGGTCTGGCCTCAACTATCACAAACAGGTTGAGCTGGATACCTATTGCAGTATATAATATCTCGCCTTTAACGGTTAAGAACTTGAGATCCGCTGTTAGATAACTGAAAAAAATATCATTGTTTCCGAACTTCCCTTTCCGTTTTATATGAAGGGAGCACTGTGGAAGATGTAAAATTGTTATGTTAGTAATAATAATAATAATAATAATAATAATAATAATAATAATAATAATAATAATAACAATAGTAATAATAATAATAATAATGATAATGATACTACAACTACTACTAATAATAATAATTCGTTTTTGTGAGTGAGGCTTTTGTGTTTTATTTATTATTCCTTAAGTAACTATATATATATTCTTTAAGGAGTTGATGATAGTTAATGAAAGTGTTTTATGAGGAATTACTTGTCAAGCTGCCTTTCTTTCTAGAGGCATCTGTCTGTCTGTCCCTCTATGCCTGTCTACCTACTTTTCTTCCTGTACCTGCCTATGTTTACTATTATCTCTGTCTGTCTATCTATCTCTACCTGTCTGTCTGTCATCTCTATCTCTGTCTGCTTATCAATCTTTCTGTTTACCTGTCTATCTCTCTATTTGCCTATTTATCTCTGTCTATCAATCTGTCTGTCTCTCTATCTCTGTCTGCTTATCTATCTCTCTGTCTGCCTATCTATCTCTGTCTGCTTATCTATCTCTCTGTCTGCTTATTTATCTCTGTCTGCTTATCTATCTCTCTGTCTGTCTGTCTCTATCTGTTTATCTATTTCTCTGTCTGCTTATCTATCTCTCTGTCTGCCTATCTCTGTCTGTCTCTGTGCCGGCCTATCGACGTCTCTCTAGCTGCCTTCTGCCGGGTGTTATCTCTCAGTACATTGTGGCCTTGAGTATAATAATAATATTGCCATCAAAAGATCTCTTCCGTCTTCCGCCTCTGTAGTTAATACCAAAGTGCAATTGTTTGACCTTTAAGTTAAGCTGCATGTTTCGACACAGTTAAATTACTACTACTACTACTACTACTACTACTACTACTAATAATAATAATAATAATAATAATAATAATAATAATAATAATAATAATAACAACAACAACAGTAACAATAATAATAATAATAATAATAATATTAATATTAGTAATAATAGTAATAATAATAATGATAATATTAATATTAATGATAATAATAATATTATTAAAACTCCCCATAATCATTATATTGCAATATATGATGCGTAAATGCCATTCAGTGACGTCAAACAGGTAGTTCATGCTTCTGATTAAGCTTGCCATTGTTTCATCCTTCTATATTTCGTTAAGTTTTATATTTAAGATTAAGAGGTTATCAAAACGTTATTAGACTTTATTTAAAACGTTTAGCGGGGTTTAAAGTTAACACGGCTGGGTGTGAGGAGCACTGACCCTGCCTTCACTTATATATATGGGGCGCCATACTGCCTCGCCAGCCTTCCCTGATACTATATAATTTATGTGAGGTGTATGTTGTATTTAGTAATGCCAGGAAGCCCATATTAGGTGTGTCTAAGGTTTACAAATTTCATGGCAATTACTAACAATCAAATGGTTGTTTAGTACTAGTTAGTGGCAAATGGTAACTACAGAGTTGGTGGTTAGTATTAAGTTTTGCGTTGTTTAATCGGTTTGTAGCCTACTGCGACAAAATGAATTTGTTTTGATGATTAAAAATATGTTAAAATTTAACTAGATAAATATGTGAAATGTTTCTAGGGGTTTAAAGGGAAGGCGAGGCGGTGGAGGACGGAGCACTGACCCCCCGCATCACTTTTAAATGGGGCGCCATAACTGCCTCGCCAGTCCTCGCTCTTTCTCGCACCATCGCGGCTAGCTGTCAGTTGACGCAATGGTGGAGTTGTGTGAGGGCAAGATGGCAGAGCTAGAGGTGTCCGTGCCTCTGGCTCAATTTGACACAGATGAGTGGGCCGAGTTTTCAGATTTTCAGTCCTCTCAAGATCTGAACTGTAACTCAATGACGCCAAACACCACCTTAGCCACCCCAGAGAAGAACGACAATGACTTTTTGGATAACATGTCGGACACCACAGAGAACTTCAAGGATACGTTTTCGACCTCGCTTGAAGATCTTGTTAACACGTTCGACGAGAAGATCACGAAATGTTTTTGCAACTACGAGGACCAAGTGGAGAAGTACGCCCCCGTGCAAGTCAGGACTCAGGAGGAGATCATGAACGATTGCCAGTAAGTAATATGGTCTGTCGTAGTATGTGTTAAAGAGGTCGGCCGCCCACACCACAGAAAACGTACATGTCGTCTGCTGGTCAATCGATGAATGAGGTGTGGTGGTTGGCCTGTCCTCTCTCCCTCCTATTTCACTCTTCTCCTGCCATAATATGTCACTCATACACTCACTAGGCAAAAGGACTCAAAGACATCAGTCATGTTTGGTCAGGGCGGTGGCAATAGTAAGCGTTAACGTAGTATTTTTTTTATAGGGTAGAGTAAGTGAGGTAACTTTCACTTAGTAGTGTTGAGAGAGAAGTATAACTGCCCCCAACAACACCACCTACCACAGTACACCACGGGTACTCTAACCACATAATGCCCCCAACAACACCACCTACCACAGTACACCACGGGTACTCTAACCACATAAATAACCCGATTTATAATCTGGCGCCTTCCATAATTGCATCGCATATTCAATACCCGCTGTAGAAAACTCCTCTAAAGCTCTTTGTTGCGACGTAATTCATGACATAAACTTTCCATTGTGTTTAGGCCTCAAGCAACACAGTAACAACAAACATCACGTCTGTTGGTCAATATTTTGCCAGTGGACAGACCTGACTCCGTCACCATGTCTAGTAAAGGTATCATAGCGTCGTATGAATTCCTGTATCTTGAACTAAACAAGAGGTTATGAAAACGTTTTGAGAATTAAATATTTATTCAGCATAAATCATTATCCAGTTCACATTGGTTCAGCGTGTATGAA